CAATCTACAGATTCAATGCAATCCCTAACAAATTACCAATGGCATTTTTTTACAGAACTAGAACAAAAAAATCTTAAAATTTGTATGGAGACACAAAAGACCCTGAATAGCCAAAACAGTCCTGAGGGGAAAAAGCAGAGATGGAGGAATCTGACTCCCTGACTTCAGACTATACTACAAAGCTACAGTAATCAAGACAATATGGTACTGGCACAAAAGCAGAAATATAGATCAATGGAACAAGATAGAAAGCCCAGAGATAAACCCACGCACCTATGGTCAACTAATGTATGACAAAGGAGGCAAGAATATACAATGGAGAAAAGACAGTCTCTTCAATAAGTTGTGCTGGGAAAACTGGACACCTACATGTAAAAGAATGAAATTAGAACATTCCCTAACACCATGCACAAAAATAAACTCAAAATGGATTTGAGATCTAAATATAAGACCAGACACTATAAAACTCTTAGAGGAAAACATAGGAAGAACACTCTTTGACATAAATCACAGCAAGATAGTTTTTGATCCACCTCCCAGAGTAATGTAAATAAAAACAAAAATAAACAAATGGGACCTAATGAACTTCAAAGCTTTTGCACAGCAAAGGAAACCATAAACAAGATGAAAAGACAACCCTCAGAATGGGAGAAAATATTTGCAAATAAATCAACGGACAAAGGATTAATCTCCAAAATACATAAACAGCTCATACAGCTCAATATTAAAAAAAAACCCAACCCAAAAATGGACAGAAGACCTAAATAGGCATTTCTCCAAAGAAGACATACAGATGGTGAAGAAGCACATGAAAATCTGCTCAACATCACTAATTATTAGAGAAATGCAAATCAAAAGTACAATTAGGTATCACCTCACACCAGTTAGAATGGGCATCATCAGAAAATCTACAAACAACAAATGGTGGAGAGAGTGTGGAGAAAAGGGAAACCTCTTGCACTGTTGGTGGAAATGTAAATTGATACAACCACTATGGAGAACAGTATGGAGGTTCCTTAAAAAACTAAAAATAGAATTACCATAGGACCTAGCAATCCCACTACTGGGCATATACCCAGAGAAACCCAACGACAGACGAATGGATAAAGAAGATGTGGTACATTTCTACAATGGAATATTACTCAGCCATAAAAAGGAATGAAATTGGGTCATTTGTTGAGACGTGGATGGATCTAGAGACTGTCATACAGAGTGAAGTAAGTCAGAAAGAGAACAACAAATATCGTATATTAATGCATATATGTGGAACCTAGAAAAATGGTACAGGTGAACCAGTTTGCAGGGCAGAAAATGAGACACAGATGTAGAGAACAAATGTATGGACACCAAGGGGGGAAAGCCGTGGCGGTGGTGGGGATGGGGGTGCGATGAATTGGGTGATTGGGATTGACATGTATACACTGATGTGTATAAAATGGATGACTAATAAGAACCTGCTGTATAAAAAAAAAAGTTCACTAATTCATAGCTTTACCTTATATAATTAAGGTGTTATTTATAAACCACTTTTAACCAACCTGTCAGAACTTACTTTGCTACTGTTCACTGTAGTATCACTGTATATAATTACAGTAGAATGTTATCTATAATTTATACCTTCATTACCTTGTAATTTGGTCTTTGCTTTTCTTTCACGGAAATAACCAGATCTGTAGCTTCCCCACCCTGCCCCCAAAATCTTATACCCCATAGGTATATGAATGAGCTCACGTTTTCCTCCTGGACGTAGGAAGGTGAAATGTTTCTCCTGCCTCACTCCCACGTTTTCCTGGGCTAACGGGTTTGTACTTAGATGCCATCACCGTTGCACTTTTTGCTGACACTTGGGAGAGCTGAAAGGCATCTTCTGCACACCTCTGTACAGAATGACCAGAGCTCTCTGTATATCCTGTACCACAACCCTCTCACTCCTACCTGGGCCTTCAGAAGCATGTTGGTGGCAGGTAGGAGTATGTTTCTCAAGCCCACTGGAGCCATCACTCTGCAGTTTTCCAGCAGCCCCTTTCCCACTCTCCAGCCTCCATCCTGGAGCCCATGAGGATGAAGAAGGGATGCGGTGGTGCATTGAGAGCAAGGTATTTCACAGGAAGTAAAATAGAACATCAACGAATTATCATTTTTTTGTATGTAACTCACAGGTGAATTAATCAGTGGACTTGTGTAGAAGTGGATTATCTATTCTGGTGCAGTAGCGGAAATTAAAATTTTCGACTTGCCTTGTTTTGCCAGTATTAAAGCATTTTGTTCTACTGAATGTGATATGTACAAACTTTTATTTAGTCTCACACATGAAAAGAGAAAGCATAAGGCATGTAATTCACATGGTTTCTCATCCAATCATTTTAATCACCGATTACTAAATCTAGTTGAAAACAATAGGAAAAAGGATACAGTTGTCCCTCCAAGCCACGGGGGATTGTTTCCAGGGCCCCTGTGGATACCAAAATCCAAGGATGCTCAAGTCCCTTATAAAATGTTATAGTCTTTGCATATAACCTACACATATGGTCCCACATACTTTATTCATTTATTTTTTTAATATATTTATTTTTGGCGGCATTGGGTCTTCATTGCTGCATGCGGGCTTTCCTCTAGTTGTGGCGAGCGGGGGCTACTCTTCTTTGCAGTGCGTGGGCTTCTCATTGCGGTGGCTTCTCTTGTTGTGGAGCATAGGCTTTAGGCGCGCGGGCTTCAGTAGTTTTGGAGCACAGTCTCAGTAGTTGTGGCTCGCAGGCTCTAGAACGCAGGCTCAGTAGTTGTGGCGCCCGGGGTTAGCTGCTCCACGGCATGTGGGATCTTCCCGGACCAGGGTTCGAACCCGTGACCCCTGCATTGGCAGGCGGATTCTTAACCACTGTGCCGCCAGGGAAGCCCCCCACATACTTTAAATCATCTCTAGATTACTTATAATTCCTAATACAATGTAAATGCTATACAAATGGTGGCAAATTCAAGTTTTGCTTTATGGAACTTCTGGAATTTTTTTTCTAATATTTTCGATCGGTGGAGGCAGAGCCTGTGGGTGTGGAGGGCTGATTGTGCTATTTTCCCTACTATTTGTTCTATTAACCTAGCTTCGCAGTATAGACTATCTGGAACTGTAAAGTTTTCCGTTTATAAAATAACATTTCAGTTGTTGCTGTATCAAAAGATCAGCACACTGACCTGCTAAAAGTAGGAAATAACTGTATGTTCCTCCCTACAGAATGAGTATTTCAGAGGTCTAAGAAGGAAAGAAAATTCCGAAAAAGAATTCAAGAAAAATAGAAAGGAGAATGCTCCAAAGTAATGTGTCCACATCATTTCCCTCCAAGGCTAATTAGCAATGAAATACTTTTTGCCGACTATATGGCACTTCAAACCTTTTCCTAACTGACATTTAAATAGGTGATGACAGCAGCTATAGTAAAACTAGAAAGCCTTTCTACAAATGAACGTCAGAATGTACAATTTAGAAAGTAACCTGCAATACTAATTATTATATTCATTACATGGTTTGCTTCAGATCTGCTTGTTACAAAGTCTGGGTTTGAAAAACATGCAACCTCATTTCACGATGCACTGTAACTAGTACTTAGTTATGCTAATAACTCTGAATTATGTAAAATAATAGATAACCCAAACATCGTCCCAAACATGTTTCAGAGATATTTTTGGTTATTTGGATCTCGGTATCCTTGATCTGAAAATTCACTCAATCTCAAGTAAAATAACAAAGCCGCACCCGAAAAATCTAAAGATGTGAATGTCAAGAAATTCCCTATTTTTAATAGGCGATGCAGCGCATTCTTGCTCTCTCCTTTCCCTTAAATCAGCAGGTGTCTCTGCAGCTCCAGCAGACTGAGAAAAGCCAAAGGAGGGGCGGAAAGGAAAGGAAACGTCTATGTGGCTTCATCGTGGGGGTGGGGATGGAGGCGGGGCTGGGGGTGGTTTAGTATCATGATTAAAAGCTTTCCTCGGTTTTAAAGTTCGTTCCCATATTAATGATGACATTAATGCGGCAGAGCTTGGGTCTGTCCATCTGTAACTTATAAAAGGAAGGGATCGGAGGCAGCAAAGGGATGCAGGGAGAGAGCGAGATGTAGGCGCGTGGGGACGGGAAGGGAGAGGCGGATTTGGCAGTCCAAGTGGGGACGAGAGGAACAGGAATGGAAAGTGTGGCCTGGCCGTCCCACCCTGCGGTGCGGAAGGTGGGGCCCACGACGTCTCACTTCCCTTCCCCCCACCCTAGGCTTTTCCTTTGTAGGTGGGGTATCTCTGGGCATCTAGAAAGGGTCGGCCGACTAAAAAAGGATGCGCAGGCTCGAGACCTCTCTCCTGCGGCAAGCGGGCGTGTGGGCGGGCAGGGGTGGCAAGGACAAGCAGCGGCCCCAAGGCGACGGCTTTGCGGGCGCTGAAGAGGAAAAGGCCACCAGCCTAGATCCCGCGGGTCTACGCGCCCCAAGTCAGGGCCATCCGTGCAGAGGAGGCTGCCGCGCTCGCCCCGCCCCGCAGGCGCCACTCGGGAACGCTCTAGCCCTGCGCGACCCTTTGCAGGCCTAGCCTTGTGCCCCCCCAGTCCCGAGCCTCTAGTCCCAACCCCCTCCTTGCCATCTGGGGCGACAGTCCGCAAACAACATGGCGGCGCAGCGGCGGCGGCGCCTCCTCTCCTGGCCCCAGGGGTTAGCAAGGGCGGCCGCTGCCAGCGTCCAGGACGCGCGACCCGCGAGCCCAGCAGGGGGCGGGGCGGGGGCGATTGAGGAGAGCGGCTGCGGGGCATCCGGGCGCGCGCGCGGTGCGGGTGCGCGGCGGGTGCGCGGGCGCGGGCGCGGGCGCGGGCGGGGGCGGGGGCGGAGCGGCGGCTGAGGTTGGAAGCGACGGCGCAGAGCCCTCTCGCGGCCGCGGCGGCAGCAGCGCCAGCCCCAGCAGCAGCCCGGCCGCCGCCGCCGCCGCCGCTGCTGCCGCCGCCGCCGCCTAGCGCTCCCGTTGCTCAGCCTGACATGAGTGAGGTGGATCGGGTGCCGTCGCCCGCCGCGCCGCCGGCTGTGGCGGCGGCTGCGCCCGAGGAGAAGAAAGGGAAGGAACCGGAGCGCGAGAAGCTGCCGCCCATCGTGTCGGCTGGCGCCGGTGCGACTGCGGTAGGTTCCGGGCGGGGGCCGCGGGGCGCCCCGACGGCAGGTCGGGACCGGGAGAGAGGGGTGTCCGGGGACCCGCGTATCCTCCGGGGAGCCCCGGACCCGCCCGGGGAGAAGCGCTCAGGCTCCCCTTTCTTGGGCCGAAATCAAAGAGTTGTGCCTCGTGGGCAGCCGTGATCACTTCGCGATCTGTACCTTCCACCCTCGGGAAATGTCGGGGTGGCCAGATACGCTGGCTGTTTTCGGTTATTTTCTGGCTTGGGGGGTTCCCACTTTCTCTAAGGAAATGACCAGCATCTTGGAGTCGGCATCATCTGTTGGATAAGGATAAGGTGTCAGGCAGGCGGGAGTGGGTTTTCCTCTGAGCTATCTGCCTGTCTTGGGAGAGCGAATATTTCCCCCTTTTCCTCGCTTTTCTTTCCGTTCCCCCTTCAGATTGAACAGGCTCTGCGGCGAGTTTCCACCTAATTGTGACCTTTCCGTTGCTGTCAGCCTCGATGGTGGTTTTATTTTTCATATGATACAGGCGTGTGACGTAAGGTGGGGAAGCTTTTTTTAACCTTTTATTTAAACTCAAGTGATCTAAGCTTCACAGGGATGATTTCCCAGATGGATTTTTTTAAGGATTATTTGGAGAGTGCTCTCAGGCTTCAAACTACATATTGCCAGATGATGTAATGGGACAGCCCCTCTTCCCCGTTTCTACTGGTGGTTTTGACTGTTTACTTTGGAGCACACACACAAAATTAACCTCTGATTTTTGAGATTTTTATTTGACATCATATTTAAATACTTCTTGAAACTTTAGTACATTTAAGGCGCATGACTTGTCATGCAGCCATGCGTGACAAAATGGTAAAAGTTTAGAGACCATGGTACATTTTGTTTATTCCTGCTTGCAATTCATTTCTTAAAACCTCCCTCTTAAATGACTAAGAACTTACTAAAATAGCTCACTCTAATTTAAAGTATTATAGGAATAATGTTTTGATTTGGTAGGTTTTTCAAAAATGTCTAAGGACTGTGAACTGGAAATTGTTAGAACAAGCTCTTTACATTAAATGAGCACAGCAGAGTGTAGACAGTGATAAAATGACACTTTAAAAAATTAGTACAGTTGATTGATAAGTTGGAGTTGCGGGTAGAAATTACCTTGGGAAATGCTTTGAAGGAATTTGTCACCCAACTGCTTGTAGACCCAGTTCTTGCTGTTGGTTTCCTGGGCTTTCAGAGCTTATCTGGGAAGTTCTTAACTGGCAAATAGGCAGTGTTTCAACAGTTCATTTCTAAGTCAGTTTAAAACAGTGAATGCATACATGCTTATAGGAACAGTTATGTGAATGAGTTTAGATCCTCAAGTAAGCATGCTCCCCCAAACTTATTTATTTCTGTGTAACTGAAAAACTGAAGGCTTGAAATAAAAACTTGGAGAAATTGATAGAGTGTGGATACAGGTCTACAGACTGTTATCTGAAACCCTGGGGCTTTGAAATTCAGAGTTCTTCGGATTTTAGAAAGGTAATTCAGTACATATATCATGTATAATATACACAGTGGGGTCCTGGCCAGTTCCCCATAATCAAGCATATGAACAGCTCTGCAGTGAAATGTATGTGTTGTTCACACCAAATGAGGTAAGGTCTATAAGTAGCTTCCTGTCAGTTCAGCTCAGGTTGGATTGTCGGAGAGTTCAGATCAGGTACATGTTTTATCACCAAATAAGCTCTTTCAGTTTTAAGAGCTTAGAGGATTTTGGAAGTGTAATAAAGGAATATGGACTTGTACTACTAGACAAACAGAAGAATAGAGTGCAATAAGTTTTTTAAGATCTTGAATAAAACCTTGAAAAGACATAGGTTAAATCAGAAGAGGATACGAATGAATAGAAACACTTGAGATTTCTGAAGGCAGTTTCTGGTGCCTTACAAGCAGGGTTGGTAGCATTGTTTTTTTGTTTTTTTAAGTGACATTCAGAATTTAAGCCTCTTAGAAATGACAGAGGTTTATCATTAGCACTGATGTTCTGAGTCACATCAGGAGAGAAAAGGACTTAGGTTTTGCAGCAAGAGTTAGGAGAGCAAGGGAGAGATGAGCAACTTATCAATGATATGTGGTATGTATTTGTCAAAGAGATTTCTAGAGCTGGAATTCTGAGCTATAGCAATGTAAAGCCTTAGTCAAGAAAATCTGTGCTTGGTCCTCCAGAGGGCGAGAAAAGCAGGGAGCTGGCACAATGTCCGAATTCATCTGTAGGTGGGGAATGCCTTGGTGTGGGGGGCAGGGAAAGACAGCTTGTGGCCTGCTTGGTTGTTTTCCAGCCTCCATGTGGATCAAATAGAGCTTCTGGAGGTTTGCTTAGGAACCTGATTGCCATCAATAACTTATCTCTTTGAACCATTTTAGTGATTCTTCCTTTTTGCCCAGGTTAACAGCTCTTTCTATGTAGATTGAGTTTATGACTCAATTACTGTAGCCCTACAGTACTAGCTTTTTCCAATAATCATTGTATCACATTTCTGTGAGAGTTTGGAAATAGTTTAAAGTGACGGTTCCCTGAAATAAGTAGAAGGTCAGGTTATGATGACCCTAATTAAACTTAAAGAGTTGGGATTGTATCCCAAAATGTTTTTAAAAGGTGCAGGGGTGGGATTGAGGGTGCAGGAAAGAACAGGCCTAACATGATTGATCCTAAGACTGCCTAAGTGTGCAGGAAGTCCATTCTAGCCAGTAAGTGCCAAACATGGTGGTCTCAAACCTGGCCATCATTGCCCAGGCCCAAATGCAGGCCAGTTAAATCAATTTCTGGGAGTGGGGCTCAGGCATCTTTTTTTTTTTTTAATTCTCAGCTGTAGCTAAGATTGAAAATTGATGCTCCGTGTAGTGAATTAAAAGCTCCTTGGAGTCTGTATTTTAAGTACACTGCCCCGAGTCTGCTTAGTTAATGGAGCAGCATTTGAAATGGAGTAGCGAAAGGTATGGATTAAGTGAATGAGGCACAGCAGAGATCAGATTTAGTGGGGAATTGAGGGGAATGTCAGTAAAGGTGGTTCTAGTTAGAGATGCTCACAGGTCCAAGATAGAGCCCTCAGAGGCCTGTCAGTGTTTGGGGTTTGGCCTTGCTGCTGTGGAGAGGTGATGTAGGCCTACAGAGCTAAGGGGAATAAGGAATATGAAGGGCTAACGATGTGAATATTTACTGAAGTTTACAGATTAGAGTGGAGAAGAATATTATAAATTAGTTGCTGCTGTAATACCGAAGTTAGAAAAAAATTGTGAACGGGGAAGAAGGGTCAAAGGAGGAGCAGATAACAGTGATGAGTGAGGATGAGTTTGTCTACTTCATCATTTAAATCAGGTGAGAAGAGAAAGGGAGATTCTCCATGGCATAGGGTTCCAGAAAGAGCTAGAGAGGTCAGAGAGGTGAAAGGAAACGGAGGAAATCATTTTAGGATGGTAAAGGGAAGTTTGCCCACAGTGAAGGTCAGGAGACTTGTCAAGCAGGGGGAAGGTGAGAGCAAAGCTTAAGGTATGTGGAGAGGTTTTGGTAGGAAGTCGGTAACAAGAGTGAGAAGTTTGTACATGTTGTGTCAGGAATGTGTAAATGGGCTTGATGGAACCTCTGGGCCAAAATGTAACTACCAGTTATTGAACATCTATTATGTTGAGCTTTGGGCTAGATGCTACAGAAAACACAAAGTTTTTTTTAAAAAAAAAAAAAAGATTCCTGCCTCAGGGTAGGCAGGGCTGACACATGAAAACACAGCAAAGCAAAGCAATGTGTAAAAGCCACCATGTGCCATAGAAACAATTTGCTCTATAGGAGATCAGAGAAAGGATATCAGTGGGTACAGAACTGTAAAGAAAGGGCTTAAAGTAAAGGTAATTATTTAGGCTGGCTGGCCATTGAAGAATGATAGGATTTGGATGGGCAAAAGCAAGTGGGAAAAGTAATCCAATGGGGAAAACAATGTGAACGAGGCTTAAAGGGAAGAATTAGGGAGTAATAAAGTAAGCCCAATGGGAGCCTGCTGGCAACTTGTGGGAGGTAAGTGAGATTGCATGGGGGCTGGACCAAATCAGCAGGTGGGGAAGTTGGGACTTTTTTTTTCCTGTTCTTAGCAGGAAACCATTGGAGTTTCTTAAATAGAGGAACAACATAATGGAATTAGTGGTAGTAATTAGAGGTAGTTAGACTGGAGGAGGAAGGAGAAAGAGGGCAAGGAAGGAGCTCTGCAGTTCACACTGGAGATCATGGGGCATCCGCTAGAGTTGTGACCATGTGATAAGGTATAAGGGATGGAAGGTATAAGGGATGGAAGGTATAAGGTATAAGGGATGGACGAATCCACACGAAGTGGAATCTAGTGGAACCTAGATAACAGGGATGAAAGAGAAGGAAGATTAATAAAGAAAAAGGATTCTAAAGTTTGCAGATGAGTTCTCTCAGACAAAAACATTTACGTAAAAAGACAATCCAGCCAACAGCATTCCAAATAAACGTGTATGTGTGAACTTCGATAAAACTTGCCCATCTAGGTGTTTGGAACAAACTTATTTTTGGAAAATTTTGTACCCTTTTTAAACGAAATGAGATGGGAAAGAATGAAGGCTATGGTGGTAAAAGTGTCTTAAGCAATTTAATAAACCACAGATATTACAAAAATGCATCATTTATACATATGTGTAATACATATAAATAATACAAGTAGTTGCCACCATTTACTTCAGTACCTACTCTGTGCCAGGCATTTTCCATGTATCTTTCATCTAGTCAGTTAGTGTAACCAAAGCCAATCACCTAACTGCTGTGACCATGAGGAAGATACTGTTCCCACTTAACAGACAGGAATCTGAGAGTCAGGTTATGTGTGGTATACCTTGCCAGAGGGTAAAATGGCTAGTAAGGGGCAGAGCTCGGTTTCAATTGAGACTTTTCTGGCTCAAAAAAATGCCATGCTCTTTGCCTTATTCCATGTACTCTGTATCTGTGGTCAGAGACCATG